TGACAGGAGGGGGCAGAAACAAGACCAGTCACCCTGAAGAAGGAGAGAGAGCAGCTGTGACCGGTCATTTTTAAAGGAAGTTCATGTACGGGGGAAATGTTTCACACTGGATTTCTGCACAGATCTGGGGGAAATACACAAAACACACCAAGAGTCAAATAAGAATACACATGCCTCTTGTATTTAGTCAGTGGTTGCTTATCCTGCAATTCAGCTTTAATAACATAATGGCTGCATTCTTCAAATACTCTTAACTGTCTCCGGGCCGGCCGTAGTAAAAAAACGGCCGGCCAGGAGCTCTCTCGATCTGAGCGGGCGTCTCTAGACGTCCGCTCAGACACGCCCCCTTGCGAGGCCAGGAAGGGGGTCTAAACACCTGGTCTTGAAGTGGTTAAAGTGGACCTTTAACCCCTTTGACTAAAAATCACATCAGCATACAGCTCTGCATGCTGATATGAAATAATCTTACATTCATTAGTTAAACAAACATGTTTTCATTTTACTTACAATAAATTTTTTCCACTTCCTGGCCCACTTTGGCATGAATGATGTAATGTGCCCAAGCATTGCATCCTGGGAGGGTTACATCAGCAAAGCATTGCTGGGAAATCTCATTGTCAATCCCCTGAGATAATGTGCATGGTCACATGTCCTAGTCACATGTGCCAGAGTTCCAGGAAGTGAAGGGAAATCTAGTAACCTGCTCTTAGTTAAAAAGGCCACTGTAGGAAGACTGGGGAAGATAGAAAAATAGGGTATGCAAAATATAAAAAGCCTGCGATTATCTAGAAGTATCTGTTTGCAGATTGTCATTCATGTGTGAATAATGGGTACCAGCATATTGACTTATATATATTAGCGGGAAAAGCAGTTTTACAACTCGCTGGTACTGCAACTCAGAGCGGAACAACCTACCCAGGCTTCCTCATTCAACTTGGAATATACCTACCTAATTATTGGTTCAGGCCACAGGATAAGTTGTCTCAATATGTGCTGTCTTACAGCAAACAATGAAAACTGTCCTTTGGGGAATGAATGTTTAAAATTATTTGCTGATATGAGAAAATAATTCCTTATTCAGACAGTTTGATTGATAAGTGCAAGGGAGTGCAAGGAGTTCATTTTATTAAAAAGAAACATACATATTACATATAATTATAAATATTCATTTTCAGTGAATAAACTATAATAAACTAATCATCCTATCAAAGCACTGAAGACAATGACAATCCCTTATTCCAAATGGGCAAAAAGTGAATCTCAAAGAGAATCCACTATTCTAAGGCTGGAAGCTGCAGAGAACAGAAATGTATACCTACATGGAATCCAGCCCAGTGCAGGAAGGACTGAATGTCCCGTGTGCTTAATTTGTGAACTATTTGTAATTGAAGCGAAACTCCGGTTTCTCAGCAGGGGGTATGAAAATTCTGGGAAACCCTTCTATAAACAGCACTATTGCCATGGTTGCAGAGAGAGGAAATTGTATTTTTTGTCAGTTTTGGGAGAGCACATTTGGCAGCAGACTGAAATTGAAAAGTCATTGATAAGCCAGCACATGTAATAAACTGAATGTCCACTATTATATTGTTAAAATTACAACATTACCAGTCAAGGATAGTTATTCCCTATCTCTTGCCTGAGCTCAGGACTGATAGGATTCCCTATCTCTTGCCTGAGCTCAGGACTGATAAGAACTTATCGCTGGGATGCTGCCACAGGGGAAGAACTCATAAAACTGACAGAAAACAGTTTGAATTCTGTAGGATAAATCTGATTAAACAATTTCATATGTAATGAAAAGAGATTCTCATTCCTATCCCTGACAGGGTGAATCAATACCTCCTGAATGTAATTTAGGTAGCAGAACAGCATTGCTCATGTAAAAGCAAATGTCTTCCAATTAAAGTGAATCTGAAGCCATTTGCTGTTTGTCTATTAGGGTGGTTCACCCTCTCTATTTGTCCTGGTGACTGAAAGTGAACGAAAATGCCACATTTCGGGTTATCACCAGAACAGGAATAGATGGTAAATCTTTCAATGGGGGCACTAGTTCTGGTGATCCTGCTGCCCACTTTGGAGGGCTCTCCTCTCATTTCCTGGTGTGGCTGTTAAACACAGATTGCAAAAAAAAAAGTTGAGAGGGGTTGTAACCCTCCATTACTCTATCCAAAACTAAAAAAAAAAAGTTTTGGTTTCAGTTCTAGTTTAAAGAAGAAACAAAAAATACATAAGATATTTCCATAACATAAAATGCTGTTGTGTGCCCAGAGATACCAAGAATCTACTCCAGTCTTCACACCAATAAGAGTAAGTCAAGAAAGCAAAACTGCCGGGTGACTTAATTTTAAAACAATGTACATCAAAGTCTAATAACATCTTTTTCATATCATATGTCTCTAAACAGATCTGTTAGTAGAACAAAAAGGTTTTTACATATGTATTCTTTTCCTTTCCTGTTTAGACTAGAACTCATAAAAGTAAAGTCTATAAAAGTAAAAAGGAAAGAAGAAAATATAAAAACACCTACCTCATACCTTATGTCAACTCTACGGCTTTCAGTTTGGATAAGATCAAAGTTGAACCTTTGCCAAGTGGCCTTTTGCATGTGGTAGACAGAGGAAGACTAACAGAGAATTACATAATTTCCATGTCTTCAATAAACAAATAAGTGTTGATAGTAAAATATACAGAGCCATCATTTGTATGCTTTAAATAAACTAATCTTATTCGTAACATGTATGTATTAACAGCTGAGATACTTGGCTACAAGTCCGTGATGCTACATCACCAGCAAATGGAGGGGGATCTTCCCCAAGTATCACTTTATTTTAATTCAACATAAAATTAGCAAAAACAGCTTACACGTTTCAGCCCAACCCTAGGCCTTAATCATAGCTAATATACACATCCACATGTACTCTCTTATATACTCCCAACCTCCACCTACTATTTGGAGGTTGGGAGTATATAAGATTGTATATATGGATTTGTATATTAGCTATGACTAAAGCGCATGGTTTTTGATGTTTTTTAGTCGAAATAAAATAAAGTGATCCTTGGAGAAGATCCCTGTCCATGTGTCGTTTTTTAAGCATTATGGACCGATAAGGTAGAGCAGAAGGCTTTGGCCTCACAGAGGATGCCCTATCTCCTGCCTGAGCTCAGGACTGACAAGAACTTATCCCTGGGATGCTGCCACAAAGGGAAGAACTCATAAAACTGACAGAAAACAGTTTGAATTCTGTAGGATAAATCTGATTAAACAATTGCAATGTAATGAATAGAAAAGAGATTCTCATCCCTATCCCTGACAGGGTGAATCAATACCTCCTGAATTTTGCTGTGCACTGGGGTCCCCGCAGACATGCAGATTGGACAAGAGAAGTTCTGATCTGGTTTGAAAATAGAACTTCATACTTTGCTACAAGTGCTCTGTAACATAGCAACTAGATTCAGTACATTGCCATTGTGATGGTAAACATTGTTAATTTGTGAGACATCCTTCGCATCATTCCGTTATCAAATATATTTTGTTCAGCTCTACTTACAGGTAAAATAAAAGCATGTAAGATAAAATTCAACTGCCAAAAACAAAAATGTATTGCACTGCGAAGCTAACCCAATGCACTGCACTATGTGCCAAGATGGTCTCTGTACGCAGGATACACATCTTCAGTCATTGTCCTTGTGGTGCCCTGGCCCCTAAAGCCCCCCCCCCCCTGCGTGACCACATGCAGCTTTAGAAAGCTTGATTGAAGACATCATGAAGTTAAGACTAAACTATATCATTTCTCTTAGGAGAGGGAGACACCAGTCATCTAAGGGCATTAGCAAAAAACTGAGGATCCCCTGCTGTGGGAGGGGTTATATGGGGTCCTGCAGCTCTAGCCAGTGTCCAATCACCTAAAGGTACTGCTATATTACAAGTTGTCTTTGAATCTGCCTGTGTCCTGTACTGTATGATCAAGAAATAATATGGTTCCAGGTTATACCATACACAGGATATAGTTTATCTGTAAAAAAAATAAATCAAGGCAGCTGGACTTGCTGTAGTTTCCTTGAAGATGTTTCACTGGTCATCTGACTAGCTTTATCATTTCAGAATTCTGAATTGAGAAAGTTAGTTGGATGACCAGTGAAACGTCTTCAAGAAAAATACAGCAAGTCCAGTTGTCTTGACTTATTTTCTACAGATAGTAACAATTTAAGGAACTTTATTTTTTGTTGTTTTTAATGTACCGTTCTCGTTGTTTCTGCTATTTTTTCCAGTCTGTATTTTTAGTTTTTTACATATGTCATATATTCTCATAATTGTCTTTGGCAGTTATATTGCCATAAACTGTTTTGTAGTTATTTACATCTGGAAAGAATTCAATCTTTCATTGTAATTCAGATCCATTCTACCACCCAGCGTTATTTTAAAGCGTTAATAATCAGTTAAAGACTCCAGAAAGATCCATGATTTGCAGTTGGAAAAAAAAGATTTTCCTAAAAATAAATCTATAAATACTCTCAAGGCATCAAATACATGATTCCCGTATAAATCTGTAGCTGAACATGTTGTTTTACATTGACAGACTGTCTTGTAATACATTTGTCACGGCTAGATGGCAGCAAAGCACCTTTTTGAAACATTGTAACTACATTAATCTAATCAACACCCTCTGTGATGCCATGATCAGAAGGAAGCATAGAACATAACGCATGACACTAGCACAATAGTAAAACGTACAAAACTACAAGCAAGAAGGCTTATTTAATAAGGTTTCTAGAAAAACAGAAATAAAGTCGCTCACAGAGACATTTCGGATGACCTTTATATAGTAAGATCAGTAAAAAAAAAACTATTTCCCTTTTCCCATTATTATTACTCTTTGCACTGTAATACTGAATGCCTCTAGGTTAACTGTACATATGCATATATTACATTATTAAAACAGCAGAAATATGATTCAGTACTAATAAAAACACATGTGCCCATTCAAGCTAATGACAGGGTGTCAGCGGGTGTCCATCACTGTCCACATGCAATCATAAATGGTGCAATTACCTGCGGAACAGGAGAGATGTTTGACCTGAACGCAAAGAGTTTGCGCCCCTAAAAAAGATTCTCTCCCAATCTGCAGATAATCGTACCACGTACGATTATATGCGTAGAGTCAGGGTCAGATGCGGCCGCTGTCATCCTGACAACCGCAGGTACTTTCGGCAGGAATCCCCAGATACCCGAGTGCATGAGCTGTGCCATGCGCTTTCTATTTTTTAATGATTGAATTAACTGTATTTCATGGGATATTTCGTGATTTGTATCCATCCTCTGACTTCTGCTTTTCAATCACCTTTTTATGGAGTTGTTTTGAGTGTTCTTTTGTCTTCATAGTGTAGAATATGCCACAGTAATGACTTGCCAGATTCCAGATACTCATGCATTTATACAACAATCACCTGAAACACCTTGGCAACACAAAGGTGATCTCCAAATAACTAATTATGTGACTTTGGCAAAGCATTGGCTGCACCAGTGACGTGTCATAAAGGAGGTATATACGTATTTAATCACTTATGTTGCGTATTTTTATTGTAATTAATTGAGTTCACTTTGTAGAGATCTTTTCCACTTTGTTATAATTAATCAGTGTAAAAAACTACATTAAATCCACTGTCATTCAATGTTCTACGACAATAGAATATTAAACTTTTATTTTGGGGGGTGGGGGTGAATTTTCTCTGTAAGCACTGTATACTTATAGCAGTTATGAATTTAGGATCGAGGTCGGAGAACTGTTGAATGTTCAAAGCTACCTTTAACTATCGCCAATTTAAAGTGGTCTGACCCTTTTCTTATACCCACATGTAAAATGGTGTACACCAGGATTTCACTCTGTTGTTCACCTATATTTTTTTTGTTTATCATTTTCAGGAAAGTGGTATTCTATTGTATCGACAGTGTTAACCCTTATTATTAATTACATTTTATGTACATTGTACACTGTGTTCTGTCTATTAATAGATATAAGGGTGCATAATGGTGTCATTAGGGCGATATAACAGGAATATAATCAAACCTTTGACATCTGGAGAAAAATTAGCAAGGTGCCTTGTCACAAAGAGCTTGAGCTGTGCATCCAAGTCACAGGAACCAAGGCTGATATTCCATGAGCGAATTCCTGTAAAGAAGATAGCAGTATGTTATTAAGTGCAGTATGGATTTTTATGTAACTGTATATACAAGTATCTGTTGTTTGACAGTATCCGCATCAGTACTGTACAAATGCACACAATACAGCAAAGAGCAGGAGAAGCTCAGACCCTGGATTCCCAGCATTCACTCTGAAGGCATCTGACATTCCAATGTTGTCCAGTGCAAACAAGGCTTTCTTCCACAGCACAGGAGAACAACCAGGAACCACAAGGCTTCAAACACCTTATCACATAAGCTATCTTTGTCACCACGTGAACTAAAATGATTGACTTAACCATTGCTGTTTGCCTTAAGAATGTAGTGACACACATGCTAACACTACAGATTGAACAGCAAACAGATATATATAAAAAACATCAATTACAATTATAAAAATTAATTAAATGTGTCTTTAAATGTAATTGGTGTCTGATTAGTTTTTATATATCAGTCTCTTGTAATCCCCTGTAAAGCAGCACCCATACTGGGAGAGGAAATCAGGGCTCTCTTGCTTTGCTCATATGCTTATAGTTGGGGAGAGTGTAGTAATGACTTCATCAGCATGCTCACTACTCTTTGTTGTGTAGTTATAAGCTGGGGTAATTGCTGGACCAGGCTGTACTACCTAACTGCTGTGTTGGTATGTGCAAAGGTCCAAAACCTGGCTATGCTGTCTAGCAGGAATGTCCGTAGGGGTGTCCCTACAGTGTGTCCAGTAACCTGCCCAGCTCTTTGATGTTACTGGTTGCCAGTTGCTAGGCGGGACACCAGACAGAGCCTTATAGATTGTTAAGTGCTGTAAGACAGGAGTCCCCCAACCTCCAGGACATGGATCGGTACCGGTCCGTGGCTTTTTAGGATCTGGGCCGCAGCCGCCTCCTGTCAGACCATTCCGCCCACCCAGTGACCCGGCAGAGTGATCTCTGATGTCAGAGCGGGAGCCAAGCTGAGGAGAAGGAGAGGCGGAGATGGCGAACGTGTGACAGCTGGAAGCTTGCCAGAGATGTGTGTGTGTGTGGCCCTAAGTTAGTGAGTGACCCTGCATGCTGCTGATTGTTTGTCTATGGCAATGAAGCTGAGCAATCATTTATATGGGAATGCAAGTTACTATTCTTTACATTGCTAAGCAATGTAAGGAATAGAATCTTGTATTGTTATATAAAAAAAAAAAAAACGAAGATTGCTCAGGCATATACAATCAGTATAATTTCTAGTGATTGTATATGACTGGGCAATGATTTATTTTATATGACAATACAAGTTTCCCAATACAAGTTACGTGACCCAATGAGAAGCTGCCTGAGGCACCCACCTCAGGCCGCCTCATTATAGGCCTAGCACCGGTTTTCCTGAATCACAAGACTGGGGAGCAGATGCACATTACTGGTGCCTGTAATAAACACTGTTCCAATGGCACTCAGAGGCAAAAGCTCTGAGTGGCTGCCGTTGTACATTGGCAGCCACTCAGTGGGGTATACCTACACCTATTTCAGTAAGACATTAATGAGTGTTCAAACAGGAGTTTTCCAAATTCTAAAGGTTTAAAAATTGAGGGGAACTCTTCAATAGCAGCACATTCTATCTGTATCCCTGTTGCAGCGCTTCCCTTACTTTCTGTCTAGTAAAACCATTGTCAGCAATACAGAAAAAGAAGTTGTATTTCTCTAACGGAGCCCCGGATAACAAAGCGCTTTAAGTCTTTCCCAATAAATCTTTCACTGCTGCTTCCATGCCATACAGTAAGTTTGCTTACATGTATAAAGCTGACTGTCGGCCCTATATTGGAAGTGTTTCAGGTGGCTGTATATCTTGTGAGCAATGTGATAGCAATAAAGTAAAAAAAATAAAGTTAAAATACATTTTAAAAAAACATATTTTTTTTTAAGTTGCCCACCCCCACATGGAAACACATACACATGCAAATACATATCTGGTGCACCTACGTATGAAGCTGACCAATGTGCCTCAAATGTTTGGTATCGCCACGCACGCCAGAGTGAGAGCAATAATTCTAGAGCCATTATTTACACATTTTGATGACATATGAAGGCTTTTAAAGCTTCACCTATGGAAATCTTTTGAGTACTTTAGATTTTTGCCATTTCACGGGTGCATGCAACTTTGAAGCTTGACATGTCTGGTATCTGTTTACTTGGCACAAACTCATCTTTTATATTTTACCATATAAATGGGTATTATAGTGTGTTTATGTGCACTAAAATTAATGTAAAGAGCTTTTTTTACTGAAAGTTGGGGTTTGATAAAAAGTTGCACAAATATTGTTTGACATTAAAAAAATTGCAACTGCCATCATTGTATTCTACAGGTTTTCTGCTTTCAGAAAATATTTAATTTTTGCGGCAGGGGGTTTTAAGCAATCTTCAGGGCATTTACAAAAAAAAATGCCAGGAATGGCTCTGGCAGCAAACGGGTTAAATATAGTTTAAACAATAAAAACCCACAATTCAAATACATACACTATATTACCAAAAGTATTGGGACATCTGCCTTTACACGCACATGAACTTTAAAGGCATCCCAGTCTTAGTCTGTAGGGTTCCATATTGAGTTGGCCCACCCTTGCCAACCCTTGTCCAATGGCGGCGTGCTTTACACCACTGCATCTGATGCTTTCTATTGCACTTGGTGATGTAAGGCTTTCATGCAGCTGCTCGGCCATGGAAACCAATTCCATGAAGCTCTCTACGCACTGTTTTGTGCCAATCTGAAGGCCACACGAAGGTTGGAGGTCTGTAGCTATTGACTACAGAGAGTTGGCGACTTCTGTGCACTGTGCGCTTCAGCATGCGCTGACGCCGTTCTGTCATTTTACGTGGCCTAACACTTCATGGCTGAGTTGCTGTTGTTCCCAGTTGCTTCCACTTTGTTATAGTACCACTAACAGTTGACAGTGGAATATTAAGTAGCAAGGAAATTTCACGGATGGACTTATTGCACAGGTGGCAACCTATCACGGTACCACGCTTGAATTCACTGAGCTCCTGAGAGCGACCCATTCTTTTACAAATGAATTTATACACCTGTGGCCATGGACGTGATTGGAACACCTGCATCCAATGATTTGGAGGAGTGTCCCAATACTTTTGGCAATATAGTGTATATTATACAATAGGGACGCCTGATACCAAGTACTGTACTCGGTACAAGTACAGATACTTTTCGAGCTCCAAGACTAGACTAGAGAAAAATTCAAAAGTTAGGAGGCAGCTGTCATTTGTAAGGAGCACACGGATTTCCTGGGATTTGTATACCTCTGTTTTAATGTATGATTTTGTTTTTATAAATATGAATGAAGGGATGCACCGATACCACTTTTTGCGAATACAAGTACTGATACTTGCCCAAGTACTTACAGATACAAGTACTGATACATTTCTGTTTATTGTCATGTGACAGTTTTTCTAAAACAATGCAGACTAATGATTTCAGGACAGTGTTCGAGAGCCAGAGCTGGGTCCCAGCTGCAACCCTGGTAGTTCTCATGAAAATGACAAGTATCAGCATTGGTATCTGAACTGGTATCTGGATATCGCTATTATACAATCATATATACACAAGAAACTCTAATGTTACTACAGTATTAAGTATTATTAGTAACAATCCATTTTTACATTGTATCACTCAATGGCACTTGCAGACTATCTGCAAGTGTCATTTTACACAGGGTCAGTTGCATTCAGGGATTTTCACCATTCCCTAATCTTCCCAAAATGAAAAAGGATTTGCCTTTAGGTATACTTTAAACTGTTCGTCACAGAGAACACTCTCATTTCTTAGCTAGAGGCTGAGAATAGTGGAAGAGGAAAGTTTTGCTTCAAGATTGGGGATCCCAGCTCATAAACAAAGAAGAGAAAAACAACTGTGAGATGCATATACATAATTTTTATTTACTTGAAGATTAAAATAGGAGCCAAGACTATACTCTTTTTCATAATTTTTATACGATGGGTAAAGGTTAGAATGGATATCTAGTTTTCACAGCCCTTTATGTTCTTTGTCTCTGGGACAAACATACTCAGGAAAGGAAAACCTTTTAACTGGAAACTTTTGCATACAAGAGATAGGGACTCATTTTGAACAATGATTTTCTAAATCATTATCAAATACTTTTGTGACTCCCCCCTTCCTCATTCCATAGCTCACTTCTTTACTCCTTATGTGGCTTATTTAAGTTTCTCAATTTTATTACCTGGTGTGTTTTTTCCCCAAAGATTTTGTTTTGCAGATTTTTTCTTTTGCTACACCTTTGTGTATTTGGTGTATCTGCAGGGAGTGTGCATGATCTCCGTGTGCTTGTGTGGGCTTCTTCTGGGTACTCCGGTTTCCTCCCACACTCCAAAGACATGCTGGAAGGTTGATTGGCTCCTATCTAAAATTGGCTCTAGTATGTGTGTGCGTGTATGAATACATGTCAGATATGGACCTTAGATTCTACGCTCCTTTAGGGAAGGGACTGATGTGAATGTGCAATTTGTAAAACGGTGTATAATTGTCTATATAAATACCTGTAATAAATAAATAAACACTGCTAGTATAACTGCTAGTGCAAAAAAGCAAAGTATCATGGACAATACTCTTCTCTAGGACAGAAAGTGATCAGAATCACATAAACACTGACAGTAATAAAAACTGCCCATCTCTACCTAAAACATATATCGCTGTCTCCCTATTGAAGAGATGGTCCCTCTGGTTTTTAATAAATTCTTAATTTTTTTTAATTAGCTGCTCTTTATTAAAGTTTTTTAAACGTTTTATTCTTTTCCATGTCCAAATAACAAACCATCTTACAGCATAACAAAACATTACAACCATAACAAAAAAAAATCTTTATTTCATGCAATTTCAGCACACGTACCAAAAAATGTAGACAGAATCACTGACATACCAATCACTCATACAAAATTCAGGTTCAGAAATTGACCTGAGGTTACATAACATCAACATGGTTCAAATACAAACAGGGCA